AAACAGACAAAATGACACCCCTTACCTTGTATTAGTTCCTTTTACATGACAGACATGCTGAAGAGAACCAGTATTTTTAAGGGAGAATTGTGTGCCACATAAATGAAATCTACAAGGCTTAGACTGGGTTGGAGTATGGTAAATACTGTCTGTGGCTGAAGACTTGCTAGGGATTTGGAATGACTTTTTATTGGGGGGAACAAAGAGGAGGAATGAAGCTTGACTATAGTGGTGGGCATGGTCAGCTTGCTCAGTCAGCGTTCATGGAATAAGCTTCTGGAGCCTCTTAGTATGTGATAGATTTTTGGTCACTAAAGAATCACATTTGGATTTAGGAGACCTGAATTTATACTTCAAAGATGGCACTGTTTTCTTGGGAGATTTCATAGAGATCTCTTGTGCAGATCATCAACTGCAGGGTGGGTCCAAAGAAATCGTACACAGAAACGAAGTTGTCATGGTGGCAGGCATGGTTCATAAAGTGGATTTGGGACATACTCTGAAACCTTTTTTGCTTGTGCATCAAATTCTTCAGGGAATTTTCATTATCAAGTTGGTAAGAAATAGAATTTAAAACACCATCATGATGTAATTCAGTGCAAGTAAAGGCTTTCCTCTGTAGGCTTTGCTTGTATGGAAGTGGATGTTTTTAACACTAATTTTATACACAGAGGCTTAGCAGAGTATGGGAGGTCATTGTTCATGTAAAATGTCATTTTAAAATGTGTGACTTTCCTACATCTGCAGGAGTTTTAAAAGAAATTTAGTAACATTGAAAGTATCACAAAACAGAGATGGTATTGAAATCCCCAGAGTAGAGAACAGCTGCTGCCTGGGTTAACAGTACCTTCCTCTGCTGTGAGAGTGATCGAAATTGAACTCAACTCTTTCCATCAGGAACTGTGAGTTAAATCTTTCCATTAGCTCCCCTCACCACAGCAGGTTGTCTGTAGGGTTTCTTGTATCTGCAGTTCCTAATAAGCGCAGCTGTGGTGTCATAAAGCTTTCTTACAGTCTGAATCTTAGATTCAGGTGTCCTAAGGAAAAAGGTGATTTTTTGGGGAAGAAATTGCTATTATCATCCAGTGACCAGCAGCTGCAAGTTGCTTGGTAGATCATCCAGATGGTGCCTCTTTTCTCTGACATTCTTTCCTGAAGACAGGTACCCAAATAATGAAGACTACTAATAATCTGCTGTATACCTTTCTAAGCAGACGCAGTGTTGGTCACGTTGCACCCTGACTTGGTGACTTCCAGGTTGGATTATTGCAGTAGTATGTGCTTAGAATAAAGTATGCAAATTGAAAAGCTCACCTAATTTGATGTGACATCTCATCTGCTAAATAACAGCAACACTCTAAAGTGATGGTCTCAGTATCAGTGACTGAGGGCTAGGGCTGTGAGTTGTAATGACAGTAACTAAGGAACCAGCTCCTCCTCAGTGCCTGCAACATTTTTTCAAGGTAGTTAGAAAAAGCGAGCTACCATAGAGTGTTGTCAGTGCTAGATGCTTGGGCATTTAGTGGAGATGGGACAAACAGATGTGCACTGGGGAAATCAAAGACAAAATTTTATTTTCAGAAATAATCACATTTTAGAGCATCTTTTTAGCCGTCTTTTTTTTCCATCATTCAGAGATGACGTTTTTTAAGGGAGAAAGAATCGCGCAGCAGAATTGCCTTTCATTTGTTTTATTCTCTCTAGTTTCACAGTAATGTGCTGAGGACAAACCTTTGATATGCACATTTTTAAAGTTTTGTTTATTAATAGAAGATTGTTTAACTTTGGTGGAAGATGTAAGATTGTTATCTTGGCTTTCAGCCAGTGTAAATTTGGAGGGGAAATTCCATGTGTGTTTAGAGATAAATAGAGATATTTGTCTGCCAAGCTGGGTTTTTCCTTTCCTTCCATAGGGCTGTTTTTGGAGCTGCTAGGGGGTTTGCTGATTTCAGCCAAGTGGACAGAAGTTTATGATTACTATGTTTTGTTAAATGCTATCAGAAATAAGAAGTGAAAGAATGTGTATTCTTCAAGCCTCCACAAGGAGGCATGCAGTATCTAGCTTACAGGTCCTGCCATTTTTCATCTTCAGAAAGCATTTAAGAACTTTGTCCTACTGAAAGGGAGTGCTAATAAATGCCCTTCCTGCTCGTGCTGGTTTTCTACAGATGTGATGGGGTTAACTTCTGGGGTGCGGGGAGGAGTTGTTACTTACCAGTTGTCATTCTGCCTGCCCCATTATGCCCTTATTGATGCTTACGCGCAAAAACTGTTACATGAAATGTTTCGCTGCGGATTGTTGCAGTGTTCAGAATTTTTTTCTTTTTTCTTCTAAAAGCAGAAATGAGAGTAGGGATTGAGATGCACTTTCCGTTTTTACCCTTCGCTTTGTGGCCACTAGAGACGACACTGTGGATGAGTCAGATGACAGCAGAGGGCACTTGGTGAACAGTGTTCTGTGCAGGTTTTCACTTACCCAGGCACAATATTCCAGCAGTTGTTTTCTGTGATGTTTTTATGTTGACGTGTTGGATGCACAGAGGGAATCAAACAAATACTGCTTTCTACTTGTTTAACAAAAATAAATAGGAAATCCAATTCCATTGTAATGAATGCATTTGTCCCACTGTCTTGTTAAGACTAATTTCTTCAACACAGTGACTTCTCTCCCTGAAAGTATAATGTCAGAGACTTATGTTAAGCTCTAAAGCCTTCCTGTGATATAACTATCACTGAAAAATGAGGAAAAGTGTAGTATAAAGTCATAAAAATACACAGTGGGGCTCTTTTTGGTGTTGGTGTTTTTTTGGGGTTTGTTTTTACTTTTTGTGTTTTATTTTTTAAAATAATAATGCTGTTGTAGCCAAGATGACCTAAAAACAAGGTGTCATGGTTTAACCCCAGCCAGCAACTAAGCACCACACAGCTGCTTGCTCACTCCTCTCCACCAGAGAGAGGGGGAGAGAAATCAAAAAAAAAAAAGTACAACTAGTGGTTTGAGATAAAGACAGTTTAATAGGACAGAAGAAGAAGGGAAGAATAATAACAACAACAATAATAGTAACAGCAGAACAATAAAATAATATACACTGAGTTACTGAGCTGTGGCACCTCTGGCTGACGCCCCTGTTCATATACTGAGCATGGCATTATATGGTATGGAATATCCCTTTGGCCGGTCTAGGTCAGCTGTCCCGCCTGTGCCCCCTCCCAGCTCCTTGTGCACCTCCCTGCCGGCAGAGCATGGGAAGCTGAGAAGTCCTTGACTTAGTGTAAGCCCTGCAGCTACTTAGCAACAATCAAAAACATCAGTGTGGTGTTAACATTATTCTCATACCAAATCCAAAACACAGCACTATACCAGCTATTAGGAAGAAAATTAACTGTATCCCAGCCAAAACCAGGACAGTATCCACCCCTTATTCTATACCATCTACTTCCTGCCCAGGTCGTACACTTTCCAAGACATTCCAACTAATCATCACCACTTTTCCTGTCTTTTGATGTATATCACAGATATCATTCCCTTAGTCTATGGGCCATCCCTCTAAAATGTCCACTGAGCTCATTTAGTCCATGACTTTAGGCTGCATCTGTCATAACAGTCCTTCAGGGCGGGAGAGATGGTGTGTGGTGTTAGAGTATTGCATGCTGAAGCCAGTTCTGGTTCCTTCACTGATGCACTTTGCTCAGTCTCATCACAGTTCATTAATCCATGTGATTCTTACTGTAATACCATTGATACGGCATATAGCAACTCTAGTAGTGATGACACACAGTGGCAGGGTTATATAGCAATTAACATTATACAATTTAATTCATTGGCTATTCTCACCCAGAATCAAATCCCCCTGAGGTACACATCAGACTTCCCCATCCTTACCACCCACTAAGTGCTACCAGGTCCTTGAGCAAAAGCAGTCCTATGGATGGGTTTGTCTTTGCCTGAGGCAAGAACAATCTAGACTGTCTTCCTTAACATATTCTTTATGTGAACTACAGGGACTTTATCCTCTTCTATAGTATGTGAAAGTTTTGACTGGGCAGCGCCAGCTTGATTGGTAGATCCCCTAGTAGCTGAGATGCTGGTTCGTACAGGTAGGGAGCAGAACATAGCCTCCTTGAGTTGCTGGAACTCCTGG